ACGATCATCAAAGCAACTTATGTCTCTTGGACTAGCGGTTTCCTGGTGTAATTCAGAGACCAGACATTGGAATGTTTCTTGAGGTAGGCAGTCATTAATCCCAGATCCATCAGTTATGGCACACATTTATGGCCTGACACTGTCCCACAGCTTGAGTACACTGCACTTGCTTCGTTTAACAGGGCGGTGGGGTAGCCCAGTGGTAAAAGCGTTCGCACGTTACGCCAAAGATCCGGTTTCGACACCCAACACTGCCGCTGTTACAGGTCATTGGCTCCCTCCCTCTGCAAGCATTCTGCGTTCTGCTGTTTATTTTGTTGACAGTTACATAGACAGATTCTTTAATACAAATGCATAAAATCGGTGATTTACAATGTGATTAGGAGTTGTCTGACAAAACATCCACCCAATCCCAATGAGTTTGAGATCGATTGGGTCATTGGATGAAGAAAGATATTTACAAAAACGGGTCGAATCACATGCACAATTCATGCCAAACTATAGAATATTGCTAAAAGCAAAACCAAACTCAGGTTCATTGACTAGAAACTCCCAGCAGCATCCGTCAATGGTGGGGTACCATCTTGAGGCGATGTGCTTTCTACTACTTAACTAACGGAAGTGTTAAGTTAACTGACTTGGGTTTAGGTTACTTTGTAGGGACCCTTGAAGACCGCCGCCATATATTTGGTCTTGCGCAACCCATGCTTGTCGCAAACCAGACGACTAACGGGATCGGGTGGTCAGACATGCTGAACTGGTTGACACATGTCATCGGTTCCCAATTGTGTAGATCGATGCTCATGTTGTTGAGCACTGGATTGTATGGTCCAGACTCGTAACGGGATCGGGTGGTCAGACACGCTGAACTGGTTGACACATGTCATCGGTTCCCAATTGTGTAGATCGATGCTCATGTTCTTGAGCACTGGATTGTATGGTCTTACTTAAAAGTAAGTGTTAACAACCCACTCGTAACGGGATCGACTTACCACCCAGGTGGTGGTCAGACACGCTGAACTGGTTGACACATGTCATCGGTTCCCAATTGTGTAGATCGATGCTCATGCTCTTGAGCACTGGATTGTCTGGTCCAGACTCGAATATTTACAGACCATATAGCTGGAATATTGCTGAGTGCGGTGTTAAACAATAAACAAACAAACCAATCGACTGAAAAATACAGACGGTGCTTCCCCCAAAGCCAGTTCGTTAGAACAACCAAGTTACTTATAGAGCCTAACTAATTAACCACTTGGCCCTTTTAGCACATAAAACAAACTCAAGTCCGTACCACATTATTATTGAACCTATTTAAATTAAAACCCTCTGTGGTCTGGGATTTAAGTTTGTTAAATTACAGGCATGGCCACGGCTCAAAGACTACCCCAGGGCAGGTTTTACCCCCACACTGTCACTCCACTCGTATACAAGACAACACACCTACTCTGGGAGATAATCCTGTACATCAGTTTGTAGGACTGTTGGTGTCCCCAGCCCAAGTTCAAAGATTAGTGTCCAGTTGTCCACACAGAAGCTGGTAAGAGTATGAGAGAGTATCATATATTTTCCCATGTGGTTGGTTGGTTTGTTGTGTAACTGCACTCGGCAATATTCCAGTTACATGGCGGACCAGACAATCCAGTGATCAAAGATTAGTGTCCAGTTGTCCACACAGAAGCTGGTAAGAGTATGAGAGAGTATCATATATTTTCCCATGTGGTTGGTTGGTTGGTTGTTTAACTGCAGTCAGCAATATTCCAGTTATATGGCGGACCAGACAATCCAGTGATCAACAGCATGAGCATCCATGTATAACTTGGATTACATGACTTGTGTCAACCAAGCCAGCAACCCTGACCACCTGATCCGCCTCTTACACAAGCATGGGTTACTGAAGATCAATTCTAACCAGGATCTTCAGGGGTTGAAGCTGGTTATGAAAGTGGTTTTATCCTTTAGTTCTCAACCTATTAAGAATGGTTGTTGACAAATGTCAGTTTGACCAGAACTTATTGAGAATACAATTTTGGCCATCGAAATTTACCATGTAAAGGTGTATGTACAGGGTACCAGACATATTCAAGGGAGACAACTCCATGTATCATATTTGTAACACTGTGCACAGATCACATATCCAAAAAAAACACCCAATTGTATATAGGGACCATTCATAATATATGGCTAGGGGTAGGTGATGTGTGTGTGTGTGTGTGTGTTCAAATCTGGGGGTGGGTGAATGTGTGCGTTGTTCAAATCTTTTTGGGGATATTAAAACATTATATTTAAAAATTATACATGACATGCAGGGGGGTCACTTACTTTGTACAGTCATTTTAGGGGGTCATTCAGTTGTACCTGCTTCTCCATTAAATCAGGGGCGGTGGGGTAGTCCAGTGGTTAAAAGCGTTGGCTCGTCACGCCGAAGACCCGGGTTCGAATCCCCACATGGGTACAATGAGTGAAGCCCATTTCTGGTGTTCCCCGCCGTGATATTGCTGGAATATTGCTAAAAGCGGCGTAAAACCATACTCAGTCAGTCAGTCAGTCTCCATTAAATCATCATCACCCCACCTAGCCATAAATTCTGAAAGATCCCTAAGTGCATTAATCCTCATTCAGCATGTATATAGTACAGTCCTATATAGTGATATAATTCTTTACTCACACTCGCTGCTAGTTCAAATCTCAAACTATTCTACTTGTTTTGATATCCTATGTTGACAGATTTAAAACTATAACATTATTTATCATCAATGCATGACTTGTTTTAGAAATGATATTGCTGAAATATTGCTGATGTGACCATAAATCTTAACTCACTCACTCCATTCAGCATCATGATAGTGTTAAATTACCATGCTGTGAAGGTCCGGGTTAGAATGTACCTTCAGTAACCCATGCTTGTCCTACGAGGCGACTAACGGGGATCGGGTGGTCAGGCTCGCTGACTTGGTTGCCACATGTCATCGGTTCCCATTTGCGCAGATCGATGCTCATGCTGTTGATCACTGGATTGTCTGGTCCAGACTCGATTATTTACAGACTGCCGCCATACAGCTGGAATATTGCTGAGTGCGGCGTCAAACTAAACTCACTCACTCACTTAAATTACCATGCAATCTGTGGTTGACAGTGAGAGCACTGACTCACTCAGCATCTTCTATATCCCCAGGGCCCGTGAAGATCCGAGTTAGAACTGGTCTTCAATAACCCATGTCGTAAGAGGCGACTATCAGTTTCAGGTGGTCAGGCTCAATGACATGGTTGGCATGTGTCATATCCCAAATGCGTAGATCGATGATCAAGCTATTGATCACTGGATTGCCTGGTCCAGATTTGATTATTTACGGACCATAATACTGGAATTTTGCTGGGCGCGACGTAAAACAAAAAAACAAACCAACCAATCAACAACTAGAGTTTGTTGGGAAATATCAGGCAAGACCCAACTAACAAGAAACAGTGGCTACAAAATAATGCTGCTCCTTTGATATGCCAAAGTGGAAATTATGACCACATAACACAAGTCCTGATAAGTCGACAATGGCTACCACTCCCAGCAAGAGATGCATACATGATTCTGAGCTTGACTTGGAGTCTTAATGAACTGGTTCCTTCATATCTGGAAGACCTTGTCAAACAATATGTACCCAGCTTAAATCTTAGAACAAGCATCACTCTGCAGTTTGTTGTTCCCACAGTTCGTCTCGTGTCATCTTGAATGCTTTATAAAATAACATATCATAATGTCTGATTAGTGTTGTAATTGTGTTTCGGTGACAATGGGATGGGTGGCCTAGTGGGTAAAGCATTCACTCGTCACACCGAAGACCCGGGTTCGATTCCCCACATGGGCACAATGTGTGAAGCCCACTTCTGGTGACCCCTGCTGTGATAATGCTGGAATATTGCTAAAAGCAGCATAAAACCAAACTCACTCACTCTGTGACAGGGAAATGGGCATCCACCAGACCTCGAGACATTACCCCAGGGACTATCCTCACGCCATTGTCCAGTCATGAGTCGTGGCAAGACGTGGGGTTTATTACTATTAGTCATTTCTTTTTATGAAAGATCAAATGTAAAATTCATTAATTACTGAGTTTACATCTGTATTTGTTCCAAATATATATTTGGATTTCCCATATGTACATTTACTTATTGTGGCTAGTATATACCCTGTACATGCAGCCAGCAGTTTAAAAGGTCAACAAAGATGGCCACTTCACAAATTTAACTGTCACCATTGATACTAATATATAAGAGGAGCAATATTTAAATGAATGAAATGAAAATGAACATTTATTCAAACATGATTTATAAAGAATGATGTGGACTTCACAATGAAGTCAGTATTTGGTCTATACACCATGACATCCCATACATGCACAGGATTCTTTGGGCCTAGACGATATCAAAACACTGGGTTGTCTCCCATATCCATCACCATTCTTCTTGAAAGGCAAGCTGTTGTAAATTCTTGGAACTGTGAGGTCAGTTTAAGTTGTTCCTCAGTTCTGCTCTTCAACACAATGGCGTACATACCATTCCTCTCCCGAAGTGGTCATTTTAGGCATTCCTCTTCCCACTCTAATGTTAACCCAACACTTTGACCTATTTCATTCCACCATTTTGTGAAATAACATTTAATTGTACCAAAGTGTCAGGCAAATACATGTGGCTGACCACATTTCATCATGGAACTGGGGCGGTGGGGTAGCTTAGTGGTTAAAGCGTTCGCTTTTCACGCCGAAGACCCGGGTTCGATTCCCCACATGGGTACAACGTGTAAAGCCCATTTCTGGTGTCCCCTGCCGTGATATTGCAGGAATATTGCCTAAAGCGGCGTAAAACCCAATTCCCTCACTCACTCATCATGGAACTGTCTCTCATGCAACATAGCTGGTTATTCCATTCTTGCAGCTGAAATGACAGCAGTTCCCTTAAATATAATTCCTTGTATATTATTCCGCATAAATACAGAGGGAAAAACAATATGGCTAGACGTGAAACTGTTACCAGTGTCTCTCTTTAATAAATATAAAATATTCAGTAATACATCTCAGCCAATCAAGATTGTGGCTGTATTCGGAGTCTGACGGACTGAATGCTGTCGAGGTCGGGAATGTTCTTATCACACAGGGGACAGGTTAAACCAGGGTCTGCTTTGAAGTTGCTCTGAAAGAGAATATGCAAACATTACTACATATAGCAGGGCGTGGAGTCATCGCACAGGTGACATCCTTACCTGACTGACTGAACTGACTGAGAAGGTTTGGTTTTATCCCAGCACTGGACTTAAATTTTATTCCGCTACATTGAGCAACGCACGCTCATATCAAATTGGAGCAAAATAAGTCTCAGTATCGTTCCAACATTGGTAGCAGGCTGTGGAGTCATCCCACAGATGACATCCTTACCTTGTCAGCTTGCTGACAGGGTTAACCTCTTTGGTCATGTGGACAAGGCGTCCGACTTCGGATCAGAAGGTCCGTGGTTCGAATCCCAGCACGGGACTCGGAAATTTTATGGCCGCTACATACATATGTAAGTCCTGGATGCGGGGAGGTGGTGTAGCTCCGTCACGAGTTCTATTCCCCTCGTGGGTTCAATGTGTGAAGCCCATTTCAATGTCACCTGCCTTGATGTTGCTGGAATAAATTGCTCTAAGTGGCGTGAAACAACTGTACCCAATGGAAATTCTGGGTTAGGGCTGGTGCCCAGCAACTAATGGGAGTGAGACCCGTGAAGATCCGGGGTAGAATAGGTCTTCAGGAACCCATGTGCTTGCCATAAAAGGCGACTATGCTTGTCGTAAGAGGCGACTAACGGGATCGGGTGGTCAGTTTCGCTGACTTGGTTGACACATGTCATCGGTTCCCAATTGCGCAGATTGATGCTCATGCTGTTGATCACTGGATTGTCTGGCCCAGACTCGATTATTTACAGACCGCCACCATATAGCTGGGATATTGCTGAGTGCGGCGTAAAACTAAACTCACTCACTCACTAATGGGAGTGATATAATTTGTATCCCAATACAGTAATCACAATTCAAAAGTTCATTTTCTCTCCCTTTTAGCAAGTGAATCACAACACTGAATCATCTGTTTTAAATGTTAGATAGCAAAGCTGGGATTTGGAGGGGAGAAATTGTAAGCTTAGGCAACCAGGGGGCGGTGGGGTAGCCTAGTTTTTGGCGCCACCCAACATTTGGATGAAAATCTAATAAATCCGTTGCACCCTGAGAAAGAATATATGCTTACATGTATACAGTAATAGCAGAATACATGCACACAGCCAATCTCTTGTGGGTCTACCGGCCATTCCCCGCACACACCACACGAAGTCAGATGGTGTCGAGATCTCTCCACCAGAGGGCGCTGATTGGTACGACGACGGGGGAATACCCAGCGTGCCACAGTGTTCTTGACTCTCTGTACGTTGACCAGTGGGAGGGCGAAGAACAAGAATTCCTGAAGGAAGAAACAAGATTTGATTCAACTTAAAAAATGATCTTTAAGTACAAGGACTGTGAAGTTTTGATAACTGCCTCTTTTTGGTCAGCTGGAAATGTAAAATTTTCATGTTTCGGTCATCTGTGCAAAATTGGTACAAATATTACATTTTTTCAAATTGCTGACAACTGGTCCTTGTTTTCTCCTAACACATACAAGGGTTGGACACAAATAAATGAATACAATGAGTGATAAAGACCATTTATTTATTAACTTAAAGAGCAGTTTACACAAGGAACAAGTCTGTGACCCAAGACGTTTTTACCACATTAAAAAAAGATGTAACTCGAAATAAGACACCGATTTTGACAGGGGCACAGCATGTTATAGATTATATGTAGTTAACCATAAACAGTGATGTATGCTTTTCTCCAAATCTATAAGAATAAGCATTTATTCATTTCTTGGTGAGGCCAGACCAATTTTATTTCAAGAATAAGAGAAAAAAATCAATTAATTTTCCCTGCTCAAAAAATAAATTCCTAATGTTTTTACAGGCCAAAAATGTAAACTTACAATAAAATGTTTTTTTGATTGTTTTTTGCCCCATATACACTTCATAAATTGCCAAAAGTAAAATACTGTTAATATTTAGAAGGAATATTACTTTGGTCATTTAAAAAAAAAATCATTTCCCTCCTGCCTTTAGCTTTTCTGAGGACAGAAATCCGTAAAAAAGAAATAAAATTGGTCTGGCCTGACCTGAAAAGAAACCTGGAGTTATCCCCCCTAGATCTATTTCATTTGGAAAATATCAATATCAAGAAAATAGTGTCTTAAACCCAAGAGAGTCAAGACACAGCTGCATGTTAATAACCATGTTGTAAATATCAGGTCAGCATGCTCATAATGTCTATCACTGGATTGTCTGGTCCAGGCTACATTATTTACAGACAACTGACACATAGCAGCACTATTGATGAGTGTGGCATTAAACAAACAAAACCAGGAAGAAGGACACAGTAAAATGGGTCTCCGCTGACAACCCTAGTTCCCCTTGCTAAAACCAGGGATACTCTACAACAGGGATAGGTCACTCGCTTGCTTTCTTTACCATTTGTACTAATTAACGTGTGCCTCGTCATGCTCCAACAAACACAGTGACTTGGTTCGGTCCCAGCGCAACCTCGGCTGCGTTTAACAGTACTTCAGCCAGTGTATTGTATAGGTCGGAATTTTACAATGAATGAATGAATTAAGAGCAAGAATTTTATGTGAATGAATGAAAGAAATTAAGAAAAAGAACAAAAGAAAAAGAACATATGTGAATGAATGAAAGAATAAATGATACACCACGGCCATCCCTCCCCTAACATGTTAAAGAACGCAAAACTATCGGTAGAACACATGTTAACATCAGCTGTCCTTTTTCAACAAAAACTACTTTGAGGCATTTTTTTTACATTAGTAACTAATTCAGATATCTTATTGCATGTGTGGAATGACATGGGCATTGACAGAATGTTAACTGACACTGTCACAGACCCCTCAAGAACAGAAAGTTTAGAACTATCACAAAGCCTTGCAAACACCTTTCCAGTTTTGTCAAATACTAAGATCAACAAGAAAGAAAGAAGTTTTAGAACTATAACACTCAAGCATCACAAGCACCAATGGTATCAGAACAGATCGTGATATGTCATATTTTTCACACACCTCAAATACACACTAACAAAAAAAATAATTAAAACTATCACTATTACTTGCAAAACACTTTCACCTGATGGTATATTCCCCTCATAAAAATTAAAGGTGTATGTGAAAGATGTTTTTGAACACTAACTAGAAACACTCAAACAACCCTGTAGTATTTCAATGGCAGATCGTGATATGTCATATTTTTCACACACCTCAAATACACCCTAACAAATTTTTTTAGTTATAAAAATATCACTATTACTTGCAAACACCTTTTAACTAAAGGTATATTTCCCTTCTAAAAATTAAACGAATATGTGAAAGAAGTTTTTAGCGATATAATTTAGTCTTTCTTCGCTGTGTACTGAGAATTGAAGCCAGTGAGCTACAACATGCCCACTTGAAACTTTACTACAAAGCTACTGTACTTATACTGACACTAATAACAAGTATTTGACTTAAAATGAAGTGACAGAATAGGTAACTTATCTTCTACATGTAGGTTTTCAGTTGTCACAACACTCAGCGTATGTAATCAGCTGTTGAAAATAAATCGGGCTCAATCTTAAAAACTACGCTGCCGCCATATTGGCTGCACTGGTCACGTGACGAGCCGAGGCATAGCTTAGGAGCTTTCCGAGGAGTGACCACTCCCTCTTATAGAGTCTCCCTGCTAAAACCCGTGAAGGTCCGAGAATTGATCTTCAGTAATCTATACTTGTCGTAAGAGGCGACTAACGGGATCGGGTGGTCAGGCTCGCTTTCTTTGTTGACACATGTCATTGTATCCCAATTGCGTAGATTGATGCTCATGCTGTTGATCACTGGATTGTCTGGTCCAGACTCGATTATTTACAGACCGCTGCTATATAGCTGGAATATTGCTGAGTGCGGTGTAAAACTAAACTCACTCACTCCCCTTACTAAATGCTGCATATGGCTGATTAATGCAGGACAATGAATCTCATGATGCATTCACTGAGTATTTAAACACTGCTGAGTACTGTGTTAAACAACGTGTACATGATATATGTTCTACTTACGGAGAAGCCATGCCAAAGCAGCTCCCTGGTCATGAACTCAAAGCTGACCTGAAACAAGGTAATGGTTTTTAAGATGGTGGAATGAGTATTTGATACCTGGAACTTCCACTTGAAGTATTAGAAGTAGATAAAACATCAGTATTCTCCTCAGCGCTCTTTTCTAAATGTGGGTAAGTTATGAGTTTAAGTAAATCAGGAATGCAAGCAATATACGACATGGCATCCTCGATAATCTCCAGGGTATACGTTACGATAACTCTCCACTATACCCTGGATGCATCCACGGCTTGGCCCGATGATTTTATTACTTCCCTTGGCTGGCTTTTTATCCAATCAGCTGTCTACGCTGGGAGTTGAGCGAACCAATCACAACTCACTTTCACTTCTTAAATTATGTAATCATTTAAACTTGGCAACACAATTGATGCCAAGGTAGGAGGAGTTCTTTTACATATTTTTTGAAAGTTTCAGATCTGTCAATTTGTCTGTATTATTTCCTCAAAAATCTGAGTGGTACTGCAAGCAAACCTTCGCGACTGCGACCGCTATCTTTTTTGACACTGGATGTAACGGCGACTTAGCTGACTGGCTACTGTGAGAATGCGGAGCCAGCCAAGGGAGGTAATAAAATCGTTTGGCCAAGCCGTGGATGCATCCAGGGTACAGTGGAGAGTGATCGTAATGTATATCCTGGAGATTATTGAGGATGACAACATGGGAACAACCAGTGAAGTTTCCTCAGTATGTGAAGCCCATTTCCGGTGTCCCCGGCTGTGATATTGCTGGAATATTGCTAAAAGCGGCGTAAAACCACACTCACTCACTCTTCACCAGAGTCATGGTTTTACAAAAAGATGTTTGCAACTGCCAGTGGACACAAGAGCTAAAGCTGAAATGTCAACCTATCAAATATTGAGGTTCATATTTTCTGCAGACGGATGTTTAAACCTAGCCTTATACCTGTCTCAGACCCTGCCTCTGCGGGAACATGGACTGAATACCCAGAATCCTCTCCACAACACTGAGGTAGCCGCCACGACGTAGGAACATCAGGAAGTTAACTAGTGCCGCCACCTTCAGGGTCGACTCCGCCCACTGCAAGTACTTCTCTATCTGGAACACAGAAATACAACATCAGTAAGCAAAATGCCACATACATGCATACATACTAACATTTGTATAGCGCCGATATCGACCAAGCAATCTTAGCGCTAAGATGACCATAAATCGCATACTTTTACAACAAACTGTTTAAACTAACAAGGTGAACACCGTCCTCTATTGTAGTTGTTCTCGGAAAATATAGGTCATTCCAAATATGGTGATTATGAGAAATGTGATTCCTGATCTGCGGCAAGTTTGTGACAATCGCAAGTACCATCAGATAAAAACAACCAGAAAACATACCCTATCCTCCCAATTCTCAAGGCGAAGTAATCTGACAAGGTCATGTGATCGGTCCCTGAGCCAGGGACAGCCAATGAGAATTAGGGCATACAACCACTTCTGTCGGCCGGACATCCATGTCTGTGGTCCCTTGGTGCCTCCGTATTGGATGTTGAGGATCTGTTGCCCAATGGAGGCATCCCATTGGTGGATGGAAAACTGAAATAAAATAGATCATGATAAAGAATCATTTGTGAAGGCAAAAAGTAAGGTCAAGGTTATTCTGTTAATATTTACCTGCAAAATTCTTGCATCGGCCATTTAATGCCAGTGACACTTCTCAGCATAAACTGCATAAAGAAATATCAGCTTCTTTGCCAACAAGACTTCATGATTGTTATATACCACGGCGCCAAACATGGCCCCAGCATTATCCTCTTTCAGTCATTTTGAGGTTATGTCGAAACCTGATTACTAGAGGTATATAAATAGGTCCCTTAGACTCATACACAACATTGACTGTATTGTGAAATATGCCATATTGTCTTCACAAACTTAACTTCCCCCCTCTTCGAGTGATTCAACTTCCAGGAAATTCCATTCAAGTCAAATTCAAATAACCTGACGATGTGGGCTGGAATTGGTCTTCACCAACCCATGTTTGCACAATTGTGATAAGAGGGACTTAAAGAATTAGTTGATGGATGTTAATAAGATCCTGACAGTATTGTTTAAGCTATATATAACAGTAACTACTGGTATGTAATGACTGGCTGAGATGTTTTGGTGAAAACAAATCTATGAAAGTGTTGTGAGAAAAAAAAAAGAATTCTGACTCGGTTTTAACATCAAAGCATTTGTTATTGCTGGACAAGTTAGGGAAAAATTAAATACAGACTAAAACTGTGGGTCTTTCTAAAACCCCGGACACCCAAGGGTTTATAAAATGGTATGTCCCAAAGCACGCAAGGGAAATCCTCATTGTGCAATGAGGGGCGGTGGGGTAGTCTAGTGGTTAAAGCGTTGGCTCGTCACCCCGAAGACCCGGGTTCGAATCCCCACATGGGTACAATGAGTGAAGCCCATTTCTGGTGTCCTCCGCCGTGATGTTGCTGGAATATTGCTAAAAGCGGCGTAAAACCAAACTCAGTCAGTCATTGTGCAATGTTCTTGTCAAGCTGGCATGATGAATGACCACAATTAAAAGGACTTGCTTAAAGAGCAAAACAACGGAACTAATCTTCACTTTCTCCACCTTGTAGCAGGTAAAGACCCCAGATATGTCCCTGCATGGGACTAATCCATTGACTGTTGCCTGTCCACACACTTATCTACTCCTTGAGATGCTTGGACACGAGTCACAATAAATACTCAAGCATTTTTATTACCTATTCACCGATACAAAACAATAGCACTCTGAGGTGTTATACACCTGCTTTATTTCACATGGGAAGAGACTTTATTTCACATGGAAGATCAAGGTTAGAATTAGTCTTCAGTTACCCATACTTGTTGTAAGAGGCGACTATAGGGATTGGATGGTCAGGCTCGCTGACTTGGTTGACACATGTCATTGTATCCCAATTACGTAGATCGATGCTCATGCTGTTGATCACTGGATTGTCTGATCTAGACTCGATTACTTACTGACCACTGCCATATAGCTGGAATATTGCCGAGTGCGGCGTGAACACCCAACCAACCACATGGGAAGATACAGGATGCTCTCTCATATTCTCTCATTCTCAATCTCACTCTCTCACTGATATTTGCAGACATTGACTACAAGGGCACCTCTGTAACATTTACCCTACCTCATGTAAGAATGACCATCTCTGATTGGTTCACGTGACCTTGAACAAATTACCATGTATGCCCAGTTCTCGGCTGTACACTGCCCAAGCGGGGTATAAATCTTTGCAAGGGAGAATAAATCATTTATACCCGCCCCCATGGAGAAAGCATGCATCCACGGCAGACAGTGAACCAGTGGTTCGGATCGACTAGTCGGTACCATGTCAGTAAAATATATGATAGAATTCCAGGTTGTTTTAATGTTATATTTACACAATGAGAGATTTAAACATTCGGCAAGATAAATTCGTTGTAGAATTATACAGGGTTTTATGTGTCCCTCATTAGGGTTTATTTATCCACCTCGCCTCCAGCTGTAAAACCCTGTATACCCCTCATCCCAATGCTTATAATGTCATGCATGGGAAATGGGGGAGCCCAGAAGCAGATATAAGATTTTCAAAATGGGGAGTGGTTGGTGGTCACAAAGTGAAAACATACACAATCCAGGGTGACATTTACTTCTTCAAACAGAACTATAGTTTGGCATGACAGATTCTTTAATACAAATGCATAAAATCGGTGATTTACAATGTGATTAGGTTGTCTGACAAAACATCCACTTGCACAGTTTGAGATCGATTGGGTCATTGGATGAAGAGATATTTACAAAAAACGGGTCCACATGCATTTCATGCCAAAGTATAGGTCCCGATCCACAAACTGTTCGTATCATTACGACTTATCGTAACTCTATACAACATTATTTGCTTACGAATGACGGAATGCTACATACGCTTTGTGCATCAGGACCCTGGACACATACACTCCTTCCCAGATAGCATTCAGACGTTGGCCCAATGTTGGCACTGGGTTTGCCGAATGCTATCTGGGTTCCTTTAAAACCTGAGCCCTTGCTTCTGTAGCAGACCATTGAGTCATCCCACAGATTACATCCTGGCCTTGTCAGCTTGCTGATTGGCTAAACACTTTGGTCATGTGACAAGGTGTCGATTTTTATCTGCAGGCCCTTAGTTCAAATCGGGGCGGTGGGTAGCCTAGTGGTTAAAGTGTTCGCTTCATCACACCGAAAACCTGGGTTTGATTCCCCCACATGGGTACAATGTGTGGAGCCTATTTCTGGTGTCCATGTCGTGATACTGCTGGAATGTTGTTAAAAGCGGCGTAAAATTAAACTCTCTCACTCTGTTGGAATCATGAGACTCAAATATTTTATGGACACAAGAATTGGATCTGCCAGGGGATTCTTTTCTGTCAGAGAATATCTGTTCATACAAAATAAAGGGTTTTCTAAATGAGACTTTTTAGACATGTAAATGAACATCAATTCATCGAAGATTACAGATTTCATGGACAGACCCAAACTTTTCCAATCTTGGAATCAGAAATGATACACAGCCCTGTTAACAATGATGCTGATAGATATTAAACAGACATCAATTAAAAAGAATTTTTTTCTTCGATTCTACAATTCATATTTTCATCAGACGATTATCCAATAGTGTTTTCACTTTTAATTTGATCAATCCAATAGACGTAATATAAAAATAGCATGTTTATGTGATGAAACTAGTCACCAAAGAATCTTCAGATATCAAAAGTATATCAGGAACAATAAGAATTAAAGAACAATCTTTATGACATGACTTATCAATCTCGACATGATTACAATTTTCTCATGCATCATTTCACTCCTCATGCATATGATTCAATTAAAATTCAACAATCATAAACCTAATCATAAACACAATTTAAATACAAAGACAGGTTTTCAAAAGGAATTACTTTGTGTTCAAACTGAATATTTGCATATATTGTAACATTTCTGTTCATAGATGCCCCATGTAGATGACCAAAATAGCAGCCAGAATATATTTTCAAGAACATTTTTGTGTTTAATCATCTGTGATAAGTTTCATATTTCTCAATGTAATAAGCATTTGAATACAATTTATTTAAACTACTGAAAATCAATAAAATTACCATTCTGCCATCTACAAGGAAATCATTTTACCATCCACATGTCCATGGTTACCGTGGTGACATCACAGGAAGCATGTCGTGAGTTAATATTTCTGAAAATGTTACATTAATGATTGATTAGGACAATTAGCGAGAAATAAATGGACCAATGATAACAGATAATCAATATGTAATTACCAATACCAAGTCTCTTAGTTATGATTTGATATGAAAAGGGAGACAACTCTGTATTCCATATCTGGACAACCAGCACAAAGCCTGACCTGTACATTCTTTTCTAGGAATGACTATTGAGGGGGAACTGCTATTGCGATATCGATAGTCTATTGCGACCAACTATTGCAATACTATTGCAATAGGTTTTTTTTCCTTGAAGTGTCTCAATTGAAGTCATTTCCCAAATGTATGTATGTTTATATGAAATAAAAACAAGTTGAAGTAGTTTCAGTCTCTTTTAACAACTGGCAAACTTCAAACCTAGATCAAGTAAACAGTTAAAACATAAACCCAGGTTCAATTCCCTACATGGGTACAATGTGTCAAGCCTACTCCTGGTGAATCCTGCCATGATATTTCTGGAATATTGGGGTAAAACCATACTCACTCACTCACTCACTCACTCTTTTACAAAAAATCGTCGTGAAATAGTGCACAAATCAGAACAATAGGTGCAAAGCACCATTGCTAAATTGTCTGTTTCAGTTGAGGGGGCAGTTTTATATGAATGTTAATATGTTTCTTCATTATGATAACAAATATTCATGTACAATATCACTGTAATTGGCAGAGCAGTTTCTGAGACAAGATAAAGTATTTGGTTATTTCACCATGGTCGATTGCCAAAGCTGAATCCAGATGAATACCCACAGAAACATGTACCGGGGTAACCATGATGTTATACTCCAGTTTTAGCACGATCACACTTTACCCAGATAAGCTGCGTATCCGGGTAAAATACGCATAGAATTACGCATTGAAAAATAATTGTTGTGTACCAACTACGCATTTAAAATGTTAGATACGCAGAAAGTTTAAAACAAATGCGTACGGAATATATTTATAAAAATCGCTTGCTTAATGAAAAAGACATTGATTGCTATCAAGTTGTACTGTTAGTATAGGACAAGTGTTGTACTGTCAGTATAGGATGAGTGATTTTTTATGAAATCATTTCCATTATATTTAAGTTGGTTTTGATTAGGTATGATATAAGGCAGAATATACCTGCTTAGTAAACTTACTCAATGGCATATACTTAGGTGAGTAAAATGACTGAAATAAGCACATATTTGAAAGCAGTGGGTAACGGAAAATGAAATACCCACTCAACATTAATAATACCCACTCCCAAAAAATACAGTGGGTACAGTACCCACATGAGCTAAATCTTATCTGGAGCTCTGATCACATAATATGGAGAATATTTTTAGCTGAAATTAGGGCTGGGATGGGTAACCCATATCCCCGGTACGGGTGGGTAATGAGTTGGACCCGGGTACCTGTTTCAATACCCGTTATGATCATGTGACTGATAGATTAAACAATGTAATATGTTATTTTTTCATGATTAACAGATTGTCTTTGAAGATTTAGATTTAATTTACGGTCACTTCTTTTGAATGTAATACATGATTAAGATATTGAAAAACTCGAAATGTTAGCCTCCGAGCTGAAGAATATATTGCCATTTCTTACAAATATGATGTCAGGAATTAACATGATGGGTATCCGGGTAGGGTAGGGTAGGGTAACAGAGGGTGGAGTATCCGGGTATAAAGTATGGACCTGTCCCAGCCCTAGAAGTGGTTAGAGCGTCCGCCCGGAGAGCGTCATACCAAAAGACGTTAAAATATGGTACTTGTTGGTCCCTGCCTGGCTCTCGGCATTAATGGGTACAACAAGGACTGGTCGGCTCGGAGTCAGTATAATGGGTCTGAGTGGGGTATTCATGCTTCACTATGGCATGGTATCTCAGTGGGCTAGCACTATAAAACCAGCTTCAGTCTGAGCTAGTACATGCAGCCGCACATACACATACACATGCATGCACGCCGTCATATGAGCCAAATATTCTCAAGCACGACGTTAAACCCAATTCCACCACCACCCAGCCCTAGACTAATCTGAAATCCAAAATACCAGACATTTAACCATGGGGTATGATGACCTGCAATCATTCAAGTCACTGATCGTGAACACATTACACCACATACACAGGTCGCTAAGGATCTATTGTAAATCAGATACCCCACTGGGAAACAAGCAGAAGTTGCTGGAGAAAACTCAAACTCACAATCTCTATGGGGAAATAAACACAGGTCGCTAGGGATCTATTCCAACTCCAACTGCGGAAGCAGCCTTGGTTATAAACAAATAAAAAAATTGAATTTTAAACATCCAGCTTAAAGCCATATTTTCTATACAGACCCTTTGAAAATAGTAAATGCTGGTTTCTTAAAGGAAACGCAAAACATAATGGCCCACACTTTATGATATGTTACGTAAGTTTATGCAAACATTGCATCAATATTTTATATTTTGATCTTTTGTTACACTTGGCTGTTAGCGAAAACACTCATGTCGTCAAGTAACAAATAAAAGTTTGTAACCAGGATACAAATAAACACTGAAAAACAGTAAAAACATTAAGCATTTTTTTTGTCCCATTAGACTAAATACCCAGCCAAACGATAGAGATGTTTTGGAGATTGTCTTAACATGACCATTATACCTTTAATAGATTTCTTAGGGTGGCGACAAAACAGGTCCCCGCTGATTTGCAAGGTGATTTGAGTGTATAGGCTCAGTATTGACTAAACTGCTATCTGTTAACGACCAGGGCGCACACAAGGCAAAACCCATTGATGATCCAAAACAAACAAGACTGGAGGCGACCAAAATGTATTCATACAAGAAACGTGATAAACGACATGGTTGCTAAGGCTAAAACTGGTTGTCATGGAAAAATACATACATAAATTATGTTCGAATCTAGATTTAATATTGTCTTACGATCATGATGTGGAGAAGAAATAACAATGCTGTTACCGGCTGAGTGAATTAAATACGGGTCATATTGACAGCCACAGGTTGGAGCTTGCCGTGTAATACGACAATATATACACCTGCTAGAGAGCCTTGATCAGCTGGGGAGCTGCTATAATGGCAGATACTTAATCTCCGAATGTGAGCGGGGATAATCTTACACTGGGTACAGCACTGGTCAATAGATGTTATCAAAGCACTGTGGAACTGTTGTCACGGATGGATTGTTGCGGTCGTAGGAGCACTCACGTTTTGTAGAGCTACAACATGGTGGGTTTAAATCCTTGTGCTTGACTGGAGTATTTACCGTGAGCGAGCGAGATGTGAACGACTGTAAATGCCGGCTAAGCGGGGACAATTGGATTGCAGCCATGTTCAATATGCTGAGTTGTTTTGACCTCAGTGATAAGGGTATGTGGTGATAATTATGTGTGAACGTTGGAGGGCAGTATAAACTCTGAGTGTACGAGACTCCTGTTGCAGTCATGGAGGGAGCAGACGGACAAATCAACTCAGAATCACTTTCCCATGTGGATGTTGAGGGGGCACCTGCAGACACTGGGTTTCAACAATCTGCAGTGTCTGAAACACCCGGCAATCAGTCATCGGATGGATCTTTAGATACTGATGATACTAGTCTTGAAATCCCATTGGCTGATGACCAGACCAGCGAGCCAATCAGGGATGGAGGTGAAATTCGAACCCCAGACCAGCTGATCGTCCATTCACCTCCCCCTCCTGAAATTCTTGTGTCCTTGCCAGATGATGAAGATGAAGGTCAAGGTCAGGGTGATGAAGATGAAAGTGAAGGTCAAGGGCAGGAAGATGAGGAAGGTCAGTCATTAGATGTCAAAGATTTACAAAGAGCTGAAAACGACAACCATGATGATGATGATGATGATGATGATGATGATGATAATGATGATGATGATAAGAATATAACTGTTGTTGAGGACATTGTTGCCGCAGTTGAAGACAACAATCAGAATCCCCAAGGGAGTTTACATGAAACAGAGAATAACGAGTTTGATGATAATGATGAAAATATTGGCAGTGTCAGTGATGAAGAACAAAATATCGCAGACGACTCCCTCAACAGTTTTGAAGACAATCAATCGGGCAGCACCAACTATATGGACATGTCGCCCCGATGTATTCCGAGTCTCTCGACGCAGATTGTATCCAGCATGTTGTATGGCGATGCTGAGGACGACCTCCTTCAAAATGTCAAAGATGATGGTCAGTCATCTGTGGTCAGTGATATTTTTACTGATGTGAGTATCAATAAGACACAAACTGGTCATATCCCAACTCAACAAAACAGCAGAGTTACCTCAACGTCCCTCCCCTCCTCCAAGAAAATGTCACAACCCAACAGTCTCAACAGCCATGGCTCAAAGACTACTGGCAGTCCAGCCTTCTTAAATAGCCAATCAGAGAAGGGCTTCTATGTAACAAAGACTCCCGTTGGCTACTATCTTGATGAAGAAGAGGCTGAGGTAGGTGGTCAAATATTCAACAACAAATTTAAACTATCACCTATGTATATATGAAAGTACATGTATTAGGGGTGAAATGGTACGGCAAAGTCATGACACAATGTATGTATATCACAATACATTGCAATTGGTCATGATATAATATGCATTGCAATATTACGTCAAATTATGAGGACACTTCCTGTCTAAAATTATGTCAGAGTAAGATCAAAAGGAAGAGTGAGTGAGTTTAGTTTTACGCCGCACTCAGCAATATTCCAGCTATATGGCGGTGGTCTGTACATAATCGAGTCTGGACCAGACAATCCAGTGATCAACAGCATGAGCTTCGATCTGCACAATTGGGAACTGATGACATGTGTCAACCAAGCCAGCGACCCTGACCGCCCGATCCCATTAGTCGCCTCTTACGACAAGCATGGGTTACTGAAGGTTCATTCTAACCCGGATCTTCACAGGTTCAAAAAGAAGGCATGCAGGCATATGTTCATAGCCATATTCTTGTAATGAACTCAAAATGCTGATTGCCACACATTTTGCAATATTTGAATGACAAAGAACATTGGGGGTTACTGAAAGAAAAGCAGGAAATGTATTTTAGGAAGTGTATTGTCTTGTATTGATATAAAAGATAACATGTATGGTATCATCGCATGAAAACTCAAGATGCACCAATCCACCAAAATTTGATTTTATATCAACGCTTTTTAAACTGATGAATTCAGTGGTCTCTGTGACCATGTTTCGTTTGTTTATTTGTTGCTTAATGATAAGCTCAGCAAATTCCAGCTGCCGGTATATGGTGGCAAACTGTAAATAATCGAGTCTGGACCAGATAATCCAGTGATCAACAGCATGAGCATTGATCTACACAATAGCGAGATGATGACGTGTCAACCAAGTCAGCCGGCCTGATTACCCGATCAGGCTTGCTGACCTGACCCGTCATCGTATCCCAATTGCGTAGATCAATGCTCTCAAAACAACATCTACAACGAACGAACCTTATTGGTTCCTTTGAGTTTGTTATAATCAAAGTTTGTTTCTTATCTCCCTTGGTTGTACGCATGATGCAGTGTTGCTCTGTTTTTACCAATTTGAAAATACTGCTTTCTGAACAAATATTCTCTGATTTAGAGCCAAAAAATGTAACTAAAAATATTCCTCTTTTTAAGTGAATAATGTTACTCATTTTACTTCATCTGACATGTAAAAGGTGGTGGGGTAGCCTAGTGGTTAAAGCATTCGCTCGTCACACCGAAGACCTGGGTTTGATTTCCCACATGTGTGAAGAACATTTCTGGTGTCCCCCCCACCATGATATTGCTGGAATATTGCTAAAATCGGGGTAAAACCAAACTCAGTCAGTCAGAGCCACCATGATAATGCTGGAATATTGCTGAAAGCGGCATAAAACTAAACTCTCTCACTCTGACATGTAAAAGGGAGTGAGTGAGTGACTGCACTTTCACACAGCACTCGGTAAGATTCCTGCAACACCAAGCAAGAAACCATACCCATGTGGGAATCAAACCCATGACTCGATCACAACAAGCTACCCCTTCCACACAAAGGTACTCCACGTCATACGATAACCATATATCAACATGGACATTTCCATGAATGGTCCGACACGTCTATTGTCAAACAGCTCACCCACATGACCTGAAGTCTCGCTCCCTCTTGTACAGCAGATTATATCTACTATGTTCGCACTAGACAGACCACTCCCACCTGCTGGTTAAACACATTAAATAGTCATTGTCTTGCTGTTGAGAAGAAGTAATTAACCTGTGCTTAGATCTGACTCAGTACTTTGTGGTAATAATCTCATATTAATCCTCATGATAACTGCTTCTCCACCTTCTACCTGAAAATTAGTTTCGACAAATAATTTTCATACATGAGCAAAACCACCAGCCCCCATTTAAACAATTTTGGGGGGGTTCATGGTGGGTGTATTCTTCTTGAGGTGAGGTGAAATTGGGTTTAACGTCGTGATTGAGAATATTTCGCTCATATGACGACGTGCGTGCGTGTGTATGTGTATGTGCGGCTGCTTGTACTAGCCCAGACTGAAGCTGGTTTTATAGTGCTAGCCCACTGAGATACCATGCCACAGTGAAGCATGAATACCCCACTCAGACACATTCTACTGACTTCGAGCCGACCAGTCCTTGTTGTACCCATTAATGCCGAGCGCCAGGCAGGGTCCAACAAGTACCATATTTTAACGTCTTTTGGTATGATGCGGTCGGGGATTGAACCTGCGACCTTCCGCTCTCCGGGCGGACGTCTAACCACTACACCACGGAGGCGGTTGTATTCTTCTTGAAAAGCTTATTAAGCTTGGCATTAAAATTTGTCTTCACAGTTTTGTTTAAGCTATATATAACAATAACTTAATGACTGGCTGAAATATTTTGGTGAAAAAAATCCATGAAAGTCTTGAGGGAAAAAGGAATCCTGCCTCAGGTTGATGCATAATCCCCAGACATAGATTGATGCTCATGACGTCAGTCACTGGATTGTCAGGGTCCAGACTCAGTCATTAGTAGACCCTCATTATACAGCTGGACTGACTGACTGACTGAGTTTAGTTTTACGCCGCTTTTAGCAATATTCCAGCAATATCACGGCGGGGAACACCAGAAATGGGCTTCACACATTGTGCCCATGTGGGGAATCAAACCCGGGTCTTCGGCGTGACGAGTCAACGCTTTAACCACTAGGCTACCCCACCGCCCCTATACAGCTGGAAAATTGCTGAGTTGGGTATTAAACAACCAACTCAGCAATCACTCCTTTCCTGAAAACCCTGACATTGAATCAAATATTCAAATCAATACAAGCTTTACAATCTTGTTAACCCCATCAATTATTTAACTGTTATGGGTATTGCACAGAAAGAGTTGCTGAGGCAGCAAAAGACCTTGTTTCGACTCCCACAGGACTAAAATATCTGACACAATCTGATATTGTGTTATGTCATGATATTGCTGTCAACATTGTTATATTCTCATTTCACTCTTACCCAATCAATCATCCACACACGACCCACTCACTCACTCGCTTGCTCACCCACGCACGACCCACTCACTCACTTGCTTGCTCACCCACACACGACCCACTTACCCACTCACTCACTCACATCCAGCTGACATAATTACCAGCTCAGCAGTCGATATTCAGCTCCAAGACAGCACCCATGTTAGACTGACTGACTGAGTTTGGTTTTACGCTGCTTTTAGCAATATTCCAGCAACATCACGGCCGGTGACACCAGAAATGGGCTTCACACATTGTACCCATGTGGGGATTCGAACCCGTGTCTTCGGCGTAACGAGCCAACGCTTTAACCACTAGGCTTCCCCACCGCCCCCCCCATGTTAGAATGGTCAGTACAAGTTCACAAATCAGAACTACAAACTTGATGGAATTCTAAGATATTTTTATTGCAAAAAAACATTTTCAAGACATGCATCCAATCAGTTTGCACAAACATGCAGGTACCACTTAGAGCCTATTTGGAAAAGGGGTGTACTTATAGCTAAAACCATGGATGGTCGGCTTTGGTAATGGAGACGTATTTAACTGACACCAGTACCTACAATATTACTTTGAATGCAATGTTAAAATACCTCCAAATCTGAGAACATAAGAACTTAAACAAAAGTCTCCATTAAAAAAACATGGTTTCCCCAATTGGCTGCCAGGGGGAGCATGGAATCTGAAAACGATACCCAAATCCCACATCAGCAACCATTCTGTACACAATCCTTGTTCATATGTGTCATTACTCCTGAACGGTCTAATTTATATAAATAACCCTGACTAAATATTCATCACTGAATATGAATCATGTGCATAGTGTCACAAAACAAACAACACACCTCACGTTCATGTTATAAATTCCCTCGCTCATCAAACATCTGGTTGTTTCTGTTTCCTTGAATGTTGATGTTAATGTTCACATGTCAGGCTGACCATATCCCTGGTTACAAAACAACTGCCAGATTACACGATTCCTTGCTGTTGCTATGGTAACCTGTTGACACAAATGTTTGACACATTTGTGTATTTCTCACCAAGTCAAAATGGAAGTCAATGCAAATGCTCGAAACTGTTGTCTTGTCAAGTAAAGCCTCATCGATCGCGATGTTCAATGGTTCTACTCTGCACTGATAAATTACACAATGATCATATTTGTGAAAGAAAATAGCTGGAATACAAAAATAGCTAAACAACTTAAAGCAATACTAACTCACTCAATCATACTTGTACAACAACTGATTTCAATACTTACATAATATTTTTAATAAAAAAAATTCATTTTTATAATTTGATCAAAATAAATGTTAATAAAATCACGAAATGTTGGACTACCTGATTTTCATTAAAAATCAAATATCCAGCTCTTATTGAAACAAAATGACCTGAAATGAGAGGATTGGCTAGAACAATGCTGAAGTGTAATGTTGCAGTCAGATGTCCGACTCTAGTAACCAAACCGGGCCCATTATCAATAGTGTTCAAATTCTGATTTTATAAATCACTTTGCGGCTTTTTGAAGCTCTGTGTTATCAAATAAAGAATAATCAACATTTTTTGTGTAATCAACATTACAACTTTTAAACTTACCTCATAATCTTTAATTTTGAAAAAGGTGAGGGCATTAGGTAAGCATGCATGAAACTATGATAGCGGGGTACCACAATGTTTAGCTAGTTATTCACCAGCCTACAACATAACTAAAACTACATAGTAAACTGTTTCTGGTGTATAGCAAATATTGCTACAAACAGGGACCACAACTGTTTAGTTAGTTATAACTGTTGTTTGATGAGCCTTCCAATGAGTGAGTGAGTGAGTTAAAATTTATCGTCACATCGGCAATATTTCAGTCATATCGTTACAAGAAGAATTAATTTGATACATAGTAATTAATGGGAAACTGTAAAAAACCTGTCAACGAAGGACAGTAAAATAACTAGATTATC